GCTGTTTAATTGATCAATTTGTTCCAAACCTCCTCTATGGATACCTCAATCTGGGACAGTTCCTCAGATCTGTCACCTAAAAAGAATGGCTCAGGGGTGGGAGTCTCCCTCACATCCTCTCCAATGGAGACGGATGCCAAGAATTCATTTAGCTTCTCTGCAACAGCCTTGTCTTCCTTGAGTGCTCCTTTAGCATCCCCATCCTCCACTGGCCCCACTGATTGCTTGACTGGCCTCCTGCTTCTGATGGACATCAAAGAAATTGCTGTTCGTTTTTGTGTCTTTTGCTATTTACTTTTCAACTTCTTTTTTTGGCCTGCCTCATTACACAGTTACATTTGTCTTGTCAGAGTTTATGCTCCTTTCTATTTTCCTCAGTAGGATTTCACTTCCAGTTTGTAAAAACTTCCAGTTCTTGCCTCTAAATGCCTCTTTCACTCGGCTGTTTAGCCATGGTGGCATTTTTTGGTCCTCTTACTGTGTTTTTTAATTTGGGGGGTACATTTCATTCGAGCCTCTATTATGGTATATTTAAAGTTTCCATGCAGCTTGCAGGCATTTCACTCTTGTTTGTTTTTGTGATTGTTCCTTTTAATTTCCATTTAACCAGCCTCCTCATTTTTGTGTAGTTCCCGTGTTTGAAGTTAAATGTTACTGCGGTGGGTTTCTTCGGTATCCCCCCCAAAAAAGATGTTACATTTAATTACATTAGGGTCCAGCTGTATTCACCTCTTGGACCAGATCCTCTGCGCCATTTAGGACTAAATCAAGAATTGCCTCTGCCCCTGTGGGTTTCAGGACTAGCTGCTCCAAGAAGCCGTCATTAACTCACACTGTGCCTGTCCAGACTCCGACTGGCCCGGGACTCCCTCGGGTTTGCAAAGCCCAGCTCAGTCCTTTTTCTGGCTGATGCTTCTCATTCCAGCTGCCGCTGCACTTCCCAGGGGCAGGCAGGTGGAAGTCTGTTCCCAAGGTATTTTTGACCCCAATTGAATCCAGGCAGATATGGGAATCCCGGGTGAGCATCTGTTCCGTGTGATCATCGCTGGCAGCAGAGCCCTGGGACAGAGACTGGTCAGAGCTGGGGTGATGCTGGGAGTCTCATTCCCTTAGGCTATTAAAACTAGATTGGAGAAGGCACTGGGACCATCCTGTACTGGCCCCCAGGGAGGCTAGACTAGGTGGGGGCTTAGTAAGCCTCTTGGGCTGGCTCACAGTGGTCCGGGCGGGCGGCACCATCTGTTGATGCAGTACCAGAGGAGAGTGACGGATGGATTCATAATCACAGCAGCAATTCTAGGTTGTAATTTTCGGTTCATTTAAGGAGCTCCTTAATCAACAATGCAATTACTGCTACCGCCCTCAGCCTGGGGAAGGAGTGCAGCGAGCGTGTGCTGCTGTGGTCTCCAGGGACGAAGGGAGGGGGGCTGGAAGAGCAGAGAGGTAGGTGGATGTTGTCTATATTCTCCCCCGCGCCCCTTAAGACCCAGGAGAGGAGGCTGACGGCAAGAGCTGCAGAGGCCTTGGGAAATGATATCGCTAGGCTACGGCTTGTTCCAAGAGGCTGGTGGTCTCACACCGGCCTGCGTGACCTCGCCCTGGCCCCCGCCCTACCTGCATTGCTAATGTGGGTCTAACACCCACACTACACACAGCTGCTGCTGTCCCGTGAAGGAGGTCGGGCCAGCTGTCACCTTGACTCCCTGCCATTCAGCACCCTGCACAGCACAGCCCTGCTGTCCATCCCTGGCTTGCACCCCATGTCTCCTGCTCTTTCCCTAGGCAGGCGTTCCCAGCGTCTCACCCCCTCCGCCCCCCATCTCATGTGAAAATCACTAGGTTCGGGAAACCTCGCAGCCCAGGTCGGAGTCCAGGGATGACGGGGATTGAGCGTGTCTGCACTGACATGCGCTGCATACATGGCCCAGGCCTAGCTTTGAACACTGGTGATCTCCGACGTCCCATCACCATGCTGAGACCACACCAGCCCGGCATCCAGAGGGCTCAGGGGAGGAGACCAGGGCATTCAAACACAGGTAGGCAAATGCATCAGAGCTACATACATGAAAAACACCTACAGCAGAGCCAGGCCTGAGGCAGGTAATTGCAGTAGGGCTTGGCACACGCAGGGTAAATGCAGCAGAGCCAAGCTTGTAGTGTAGATGTAGCCTCAGGTGTTAGGGGTTTCCTGGTTCTGTTTGCAGGCTAGGGGGCTCTGTAGGGAAGTGTGTGATCTAGCTCAGTGGTTCTCACTCAGGGGTACGTGTATCTTTGGGGGTACGCAGAGGTTGTCCAGGGGGTATGTCAACTCATCTAGATATTTGCCTAGTTTTACAACAAGCTACATGAAAAGCACTAGCGAAGTCAGTACAAACTAAAATTCCATATAGACAATGACTTGTTTGTACTGCTCTATAGATGATACCCTGAAATGTAAGTACAATATTTATATTCCAATGGATTTATTTTATAATTCTATGGTCAAAATGAGAAAGTCACAATTTCTCAGTAATAGGTGCTGTGCCACTTATATTTTTATGTCTGATTTTGTAACAAGTCGTTTTTAAGTGAGGTGGAAGTTGGGGGTACGCAAGACAAATCAGACTCCTGAAAGGGGTGCAGGAGTCTGGAAAGGGTGAGAGCCGCTGATCTAGGTCTTCAGCAGTCAGTCCGCAAAGAGCCAGTTTAAAGCAAGGTGGTTTGAGTTGTGCCATGCTGCCTTGGAGAGCAGCCTGCTTTGTTTCTCTCTGGTTTTGTTGTTGTGTGTTAGGATCATGGATTCTAAGAAATAAAGTTGTGTTATGTTACCTCAAACACCAAATCCGTGTCTCTCAAGTGTGCTGCAAGGCTGGGAGCAGGAGTGCATCTGCTAGTCACCCTTCTTCCCAACTTACAAACAAGAGGCTGGTCAATGACAATGGAAGGTGTCAAATTCAGAATGGATCAAAGGAAACATATTGACACACAACACACAAGTAAAAAGCAACAGAGGGTCCTGTGGCACCTTTAAGACTAACAGAAGTATTGGGAGCATAAGCTTTCGTGGGTAAGAACCTCACTTCTTCAGATGCAAGTAATGGAAATCTCCAGAGGCAGGTATAAATCAGTATGGAGATAACGAGATTAGTTCAAGCAAAACTAAAAACGAAAGCTTATGCTCCCAATACTTCTGTTAGTCTTAAAGGTGCCACAGGACCCTCTGTTGCTTTTTACAGATTCAGACTAACACGGCTACCCCTCTGATACTTAACACACAAGTAGCCAGTGGAACTCACTGCCACAAGATAGCACTGAGGCCAAGAGCCTAGCAGGACTGAGAAAAGGACTGGGCATTTCATTGGGAGCAAGACTATCCAGAGTTACAGCAGTCAGGATTGAAAGAAAACTAACCAGGAGATCGGGAAGAGGCTGTGAACCCTCCTGCTACAGTGCATAAGCCAAGCTCTGACTGACAGCATCTGTGGGAAATTCCCCCAGGGGCAGCTTATCCCATCACTGCCACCTGCAGGGTTCTTGCATCTTCCTCTAAATCATCTGGGCCTGGCCACTGCCGGAGCCGGGATACTGGGCTAGCCGGTCTGATCCCATCCGGCAGCCCCTAGGATACTCAGTGTGACACGGACGTGCCCAAACATGCCTGGCAGGTAGATTACATCTCTGCCCGACCATGTGCTCAATATCACATTGAAGGGGGTCATGTGGGGTGTGACGGAGTGGGAAATTTTCATAATATTTTGTGCGTGCCTCAGTTTCCCCTATGTGCTGCATGGTTAACTAGGTGAGGGGAAACGGTTGTTTACTCTTTGCAGCGATCCAGGTGTGATTGATGCCTGGCTGTGTGAGGCCTGAGCCCCACGCCCATGGAGAGTCCCAGAAGACAATGGTCACTCCAGCTGCCCAGACGTTTGGCACCAAGCAACTAACGACCATGAATGGCCGACCCTCGGCAGGAAGCCAGCGGGGTCTGACCAGCTGGAGAACAAAGGGCTAAGGAGGAGGCCAGGTGACAATGGCTGCCAAGAACAAGGACAAAGGACGCAGGAGGGGCCAGGTGGGGCTGTTGGAAGTGGTGGGAGACGCTCCTGCACTGGGACTAAGGGGGGTCAGAGGGCTCTGGGACTGACCTAGCTGGACGTTGCTGTAACTTTCCGTTCTCGGTGTTAACTAAGGACTTTCTACTCTGTGTCCCAGACAGCTAATACCCCTCCTGCTGCTGCCCCGCTGGCTGGGAGTCGCTGCAGAGTCAGGAGGTCGGGGGGGGGCACTGCTCCTTTTGGGGGTGCACGTCTCCCTCCGGTGTCCAGCTCAGGTGGACTCGCAGCCCGGAGCTCACGGCGTGAAGCAGGGGGGCTGGAGGCGCCGAGGGTCGGTCCCAGGAGGCCGTGAGGCTACGGGGCTGACCCCAGTGACAGTGTGACCCTAAGGGGGCTGACACACCGAAGGGATCCTCCCAGGAACTGCTCCAGAGCCGTGCGAGAGCACCGGACCTGTGGATCTGGGACATGGGGTCTCTGCCGAGAGCCAAGAACTAGCTGGTCGTCATGGTTCTTCTGAGATGTTTGTCTGGGAAACAATTGTAGAGCTCTGAGACCTGGTGGGAGTGAGACGTCTCACCTGAGACCTCTCACCTCAACATGAGAACAATGGACGTCCCTGGAGACAGCCTGTGTTTATTGTCTGGGGAAGATTCAGGCCTCAGTGACAAAGGGAACCCCAGGAGATTTCCCAGGAGAGGGGCCCCTCTCCTAAGAGACAATAGCCTGTCCCTGTATCAGAGAGAGGAAATGGCCCATTACAGAGGAGAGACTCTGTCAGTGAGGGGGTCTCATGAACTCCAGCTCTCCGAACTGCAAGAACAAATGGATGGGTGAGAAATCCCGTGGTAGACAGGGAAGGTCCTTGTTAATAAGCGCAGGTTCTAGACGGCATTTCATGTTGTTCTTTTTCCTGTAACCTCGTGTTTCTGCATCCTTTTACTGGCCTTGATGTGGAGTCGTTACCGCAGGCGCTGTGAAATAACCTTCCATCTGGGCTGACTGTAAACCCATCTACGCGTAAGGAGAGCCCTGGACGCGGTGAGAGCAGTGAGCTGGGGGGCGCTGTCTCCACGGCAGCAGCGGATCGGTGTGCACCGTGGGTGTCCTGACGATAAGGGCCTGGGCGTGCGAGTGAAACAAAGTGGGGTGTGCCAGTTGCTAGCCTGCACTAGGAAAGAGCGGGGTTCGCGGAGCCCAGAGCACCTGTGTTGCTAATGGCCGGAGAGCATTTCCCCTGCTGGCCCCAGACAAGGGTCCCTCCTGCCACGAGCAAGGGGTAGCCATTTGCCCCGGACACCTGGGCACCCCCGAAAAGTGTCATGCTCCGTCACTGCGTAGCCAGCCAGTGACGTGGATGTTGAGGGCCAGCATCCCCTGGGCTTCCCTAGGACGAGGCAAGGTAGCCTGCTTGGGGACTGTGGCTGTTCTTAGCCCCCCTGGGGCCCCTTTCCCTGGGGCTGCCCAGCTGGGGCTGTCTCCCAGCAGCGGGACATTCCCCCAGATCAGTCGAAGTGCTGAGGGCTGTTAGCATTGTGGTGGATGGGCTGGCTGGCTGCGTAGCGGGGGAGTGATTGATGGAGTGACCGACTGGCTGGTTAATGGATAAGATTGTTGCCGGTGCGGCCAGCCTGGTACGGTGCCTAGAAGAAATTGGGCTCCTACCCCAGGGACGGCACAAACTCATGAGTCAGATGGTGCTGGTCAGAACAGCTCTCCCCACGGAGCTGAGCAGGGCTGGGGCCAGGGCCCTGCCCCAGGAGATACCACTGTAGTCAGTCTCCTCCCGCTCCCCTTTGCTCTGAGGGGCGAGCAGCCAGTCCGGTCAGCACCACCTGTGCCAACTCTGCTGCGCTGGCCAAGGCCCAGGTGCCCCTCCCTGCTCACCCCTGCACCAGGACTCCAGGTCCAGGTGGAGGGAGCAGTTCTGACTCCCCTCTACCGGCACATGGCCAAGTCGTGCTCCAGCACCGATGCTGCATAGAATCGTAGAATCACAGAACTGGAAGGGACCTCGAGAGGTCTCTAGTCCAGTCCCCTGCCTCATGGCACGACTAAGTATTGTCTAGACCGTCCCTGACAGGTGTTTGTCCAACCTGCTCTTAAACATCTCCAGTGACAGAGATTCCACAGCCTCCCTAGGCAATTTATTCCAGTGCTTAACCACCCTGACAGTTAGGAAGTTTTTCCTAATGTCCAACCTAATCCGGCCTTGCTGCAATTTAAGCCCATTGCTTCTTGTCCTAGCCTCAGAGGTTAAGGAGAACAATTTACCCCCCTCCTCCTTGTAACAACCTTTTATGTACTTGAAAACTGGTATCATGTCCCCTCTGTCTTCTCTTCTCCAGACTAAACAAACCCAATTTTTTCAATCTTCCCTCATAGGTCATGTTTTCTAGACCTTTCATCATTTTTGTTGCTTTCTCTGGACTTTCTCCAATTTTTCCACATCTTTCCTGAAATGTGGCGCCCAGAACTGGACACAATACTCCAGTTGAGGCCTAATCAGCGCGGAGTAGAGCAGAATTACTTCCCGTGTCTTGCTTACAACACTCCTGCTAATACATCCCAGAACGATGTTTGGTTTTTTTTGCAACCGCATTACATTGTTGACTCATATGTAGCTTGTCATCCACTAGGATCCGCAGCTCCCTTTCTGCAGTACTCCTTCCTAGGCAGTCATTGCCCAGTTTGTGTGTGTGCAACTGATTGTTCCTTCCTCAGTGGAGCACTTTGCATAGGAAGGGACAGTCAGCACGGTCTCTGCCCGGGCACTGCTCTCTCCAGCGCCCAGTTTGAAACGGCCCTCGCCATGGGGCTCATCCCCTGGGAGATCGGGGCTCTCCTCCTGCCCCGACTGGAAGACAGCGTGGTTGATGGGTGTTGCTGTGACCGCCAGCCACTCTTTGGAGGCCTGGGCAGGGTGAGCTGATGGGTCTCGGCCTGGCTCCTCGTGGGAAGGTGCCACATCTCCAGAAGCGTCGGGGTCCCTCCAAGGCAGGGGTGGAGTGCCCGGGCGGGGCCTTATGTTGGAGGAGCGAGCTAAGGGCAGCGTGCAGAGGGTGATGTAGCGAGAGCCTGTAAGTGCTTTGCAGATAAGCTATCTCTGTCCATGGTGCCCTGCCGGCTCAGCAGGGATGGGTCTGAGAGCTGTCACCTGGGGGAGCAGGAGCCGGTGACCTTGCCACGGGGCTGCTGCTGACACGGCCCAGCGTTGGGGGCCCAGCTGAGGCTGTGCGAGCTGCCACCATCCCCCACCGGCCACCGCTCAGAGCTATTCCCAGCTCCCCACACAGGCTCCAGCTGGCAGAGGCAGCGTTCTCAGCACTCACACGCTGGAGTGCTCCGGAGACACAGATGATGATGAGCAATAATGACTGGCCTCCGCAGAGCGCCTGTCATCAGCTATGCAGAGTGCTTCCAGCCCCGCCCTGGGTGCCTGACAGTTGGCACGCTGGATGGGCAGAGACAGATTGCCTCAGCTCGTGTGGAAATGCACCCCCTCTGGGGTGGAGCGGGGCAGCTGTTTAACAGCCACCCAATAGTGCCACAGAGCCGTTTGGGGCAGGAAGGGAGGAAGAATCGCTAGGAGCACTGGGACTGCCAGCCGCACCAGGGAGCAGCAGCAGGCCAGGAGGGGTTCCCTGGACTCCACCGAGCAGAGCTCCCAGCCCAGGGGTCTCCCCGCCCCGCCCCGCCCCGGAGAACCCACACACATCAGCGATGTCAGCGGGCTGCACATTCATTTCTGTCTGCCAATGGTTGTGAGGTCCAATCTCCACCCTGCCACTGATCTCACCCGCCTGCCTGCCAGGCTCCCTCTAGCTGTCCCTTCCCCACATCGCCCCAGAGCCCCCTGCCCCTCCCAGCCCTTGCCCCTATTCGCTCACCCCTCCCACTCTCCCCACCTGGCCCCAGAGATAGTAAGTTGTGCCACCACTAGAGTCTCTTACCATGGTATCCCAGCATTGCTGGCCCCCTCCCGCCCACCTGCCGCATCTGAGCACTTCCAGGGTAGCCCCGTCCAAAGCAAACACCCCCCAGAGGCTCTGACCCAGGCTCCCACTGGGCCCAGTCCCTCCTTCCTGAGGGCTCTGCCTTCTCCCCCCTATTCACACTCACTTCTGCCCAGCGCACCCCCCTGGGCTCAGCTCTCACCCTTCCCAGGCTCCTGTCCACCTCCCATAAGGCCATTGCAGAGAAACTAAATGAATTCTTTGCATCAGTCTTCACAGCGGAGGATGTGAGGGAGATTCCCAAACCTGAGCCATTCTTTTTAGGTGACCAATCTGAGGAACTGTCCCAGATTAAGGTGTCATTAGAGGAGGTTTTGGAACAAACTGATAAACTAAACAGTAATAAGTCACCAGGACCAGATGGTATTCACCCAAGAGTTCTGAAGGAACGCAAATGTGAAATTGCAGAACTACTAACTGTCATCTGTAACCTATCATTTAAATCAGTTTCTGTGCCAAACGACTGGAGGATAGCTAATGTGACGCCAATTTTTAAAAAGGGCTCCAGAGGCGACCCGGCAATTACAGGCCAGTAAACCTGACTTCAGTACCTGGCAAACGGGTTGAAACTATAGTACAGAACAGAATTGTCAGACACATAGATGAACATAACTTGTTGGGGAAGAGTCAACAGGTTTTTGTAAAGGGAAATCATGTCTCACCAATCTACTAGAATTCTTTGATGGAGGTCAACAAGCATGTGGATAAGGAGGATCCAGTGGATATAGGGTACTTAGATTTTCAGAAAGCCTTTGACAAGATCCCTCACCAAAGGCTCTTAAGCAAAGTAAGCTGTCATGGGCTAAGAGGAAGGTCCTCTCATGGGTCGGTAACTGGTTAAAAGATAGGAAACAAAGGGTAGGAATAAATGGTCAGTTTTCAGAATGGAGAGAGGTAAATAGTGGTGTCCCCCAGGGGTCTGTACTGGGGCCAGTCCTGTTCAACATATTCATAAATGATCTGGAAAAAGGAGTAAACAGTGAGGTGGCAAAATTCGCAGATGATACAAAACTGCTCAAAATAGTTAAGTCCCAGGCAGACTGTGAAGCTACAAAAGGATCTCACTGAGCAACAAAATGGCAGATGAAATTCAGTGTTGATAAATGCAAAGTAATGCACATTGGAAACATAATCCCAACTCTACATATAAAATGATGGGATCTAAATGAGCTGTTACCACTCAAGAAAGATCTTGGCGTCACTGTGGATAGTTCTCTGAAAACATCCACTTAATGTGCAGCGGCAGTCAAAAAAAGGAACAAAATGTTGGGAATCATTAAGAAAGGGAGAGATAATAGGATGGAAAATATCATGTGGCCTCTATATTAATCCATGTTACACCCACATCTTGAATACTGCATGCAGATGTGGTTGCCCCATCTCAAAAAAGCTATATTGGAATTGGAAAAGGTTCAGAAAAGGGCCACAAAAATGATTAGGGGTATGGAACGGCTTCCATATGAGGAGAGATTAATAAAACTGGGACTATTCAGGTTGGAAAAGAGATGACAAAGGGGGGATATGATTGAGGTCTATAAAATCATGACTGATGTGGAGAAAGTGAATAAGGAAGTGTTATTTACTCCTTCTCATAACACAAGAACTAGGGATCAACAAATGAAATGAATAGGCAGCAGGTTTAAAACAAACAAAAGGAAGTATTTTTTCACACAATTTGCAGTCAACCTGTGGAACTCTTTGCCAGAGGATGTTGTGAAGGCCAAGACTATAACAGGGTTCAAAAAAGAACTAGATAAGTTCATGGAGGACAGGTCCATCAATGGCTATTAGCCAGGATGGGCAGGGATGGTGTCTCTAGCCTCTATTTGCCAGAAGCTGGGAATGGGCGACAGGGGATGGATCACTTGATGATTCCCTGTTCTGTTCATTCCCTCGGGGGCACCTGGCATTGGCCGCTGTCGGCAGACAGGATACTGAACTACATCGACCTTTGGTCTGATCCAGTCTGGCCGTTCTTATGTCATTTCCACCCCCCCTTCCTGGCCGGCCCCCTAGGCCTTCTCTGGCTCCCCACAGCCGTCTACCTCCCCTGCAGCCCACTCTCCACTGCTGGCCTTTCTTCTCTCCTGTTCCACCCAGCGCAGGTGTAGCGGGTTGGGACTAATTGAACAGGGCCCTTAAAGAGGCCGGCCGCCCTATTCTAGGCCCCCTGCCCTCCCAGGTATCATCATGGTGCACAGAGATGGTGGGGCGCCATGTGCTGGCAGCCCAAAGGTTTGCTGCGTCTGAGGTTTCCTTTCTCTTGTTACACTCCTGTTCTCCATGGCAGCCCCTGGTTCCCCAGCGGTTGGGTTTGGGGTGGCGGAGAGCCCTGGGTTCTGGGAGAGCACGGGGGGTCCGGAGCAGAAGGCCCCACTGCAGGGTGACCCTCAGCAAAGTGCTTTGTAAGCAAATATTTTCATTCTACACTGAAACCTGCCCGAATGGCCATTTGCCCCAGCCACTGCCACCCCCCTGCCCCACTCCTCCTTAAAGGGTTCCCGAGGTTTCTAGCATGTTTGTTCCACCTCTGCATAAAGATCCCCCACTTCAAGGCCGCTCGTTTTGCCAGTCCCTTGGTTCACCACTTAAGGCAAGTTTCACTGGCTCGTTATTTCGTAGTATGCTTTATTCATCCAGCACCCGGACGAGCCCTGGACAACGGGAACGAGCCACTGTCCCAAGGACTTCACAGGCTGCAGCGAGTAATTCCTCAAGCCCGGAATGGGGGGCGAGAGGCCAAGGGAGATGGAGTGAGACCTGCCGGGGCTCAGATTGGCGCCTGATTGAGGGCAGGTTGAGGAGCTGGGGCAGGGCGGCTTCTCCGCCACTTAGAACCATAGAATCTCAGGGGTTGGAAGGGACCTCAGGAGGTATCATAGTCCAACCCCCTGCTCAAAGCAGGACCAGATTTTTTCCCCCAGATCCCTAAATGGCCCCCTCAAGGATTTGAACTCACAACCCTGGGTAGAGCAGGCCAATGCTCAAACCACTGAGCTATTCCCCCCTTTAAATCAGGTCGAGGGGTCTCTTTCCCAGCGAGGCGCTGTGGCTATAACAGAGGTGACGGACTGGCTGCAGGGGTCACTGGCAGAGACCTGGCCTGGGCTGTGTGGGAGACCAGACTGGAGGTAGAATGGTCCCACGAGGAGAGGAGGTGGCGAGGGACGGTCCTGAGGGAGCGGAAAGGGGGTGCGAGGGTGGAGGCCAGGGCGAGGTGCAGGGTGGGTGGGCGTGAGCAAGGCCAGGCAGCAGCGGGAGATTAGACTAGACTCCCCGAAATCCCCCGTGGGCGGATGGACATGGGAAGGGCGTGGCGGCGCTGGAGCCCTTGACAAGCTGGCAGGGGGCTGGTGTTCCTGGAACTCCCACCTGGGGGGCAGGGCTGGCGTTACCCCAGGCAGGACGGCTCCTGCCAGGGCTGGCTCCAGCACCCAGCCTGTCTTGGAGCAAAGGGTGAAGGGGCCCAGGCTGCGCTGGCCGGGGGAGGGTGCGGCAAAGCTGCTGGCGGGCTGGGGACGTCTCGGTGGAGCCCGGCTGCGGCTCTGGAGACCAGGCAGCCAGACTCCAGCATAATTAAAAGCCAGACATCAAGGGGCTGGAGGGAAGAAACGCTCCATGGGCGCCTCTCCCGCCCCGCTGCCTCCAGCAGAACTGTGCCCGGGGTGCTGGGCGCTGAGCAGGGACGAGAGATTTCCCCTCGCTTGTTCGTGGTCAGCGGCCAATCTCTGAGCCCAATGGCTGGGGGCTGAACACAGCCCTTTGTGTCACCTGTGTGCGGGGGGCTGTGGGCGAGGTGTGATTGCCTAGGGGGGGTGTCTGTGTCCGTGTGTGTGTGTGTCCCGGGGTGTGTGTCTCGGTCGGTGTGGAGGGGGTGTGTGTGTCCTGGGGTGTGTGTCTCGGTCGG